ACTTCGCAGTGAAATTCGAGTTGTATTTGATATTTCAGTATTGGACTTTCCTGCCTTTACAGAATGCTGTAAAGCAGCAACCTGATCACTTTTCATATATTTAGCTCCACCCATCACAACACACTAGCCAAAAAACAGCAACAGGAACTCAGGCAAAAATGCTAGGCTATTTCATGAAAAAAACACGTAGGAATTCTGGCTCACTATCACTGCCCATAGGTAATTGAGTGATATTTGAAACCACCAATATGGATTAGATGAGTAATCTATCAGCTGACGGGGTGTCAAGAGTATAGGCTGATTTGCATGATATAGAGGGCATTAACCGAAAAAGTTAAAAATCTTTGTGTGTGTGTGGTGTGTGTGTGTGTGTGTGTGTGTGTGTGGTGTGTGTGTGTGTGTGTGTGTGTGTGTGGTTGAGTGGAGTGAGTGAGTGAGTGAGTGAGTGAGTGAGTGAGTGAGTGAGTGAGTGAGTGAGTGAGTGAGTGAGTGAGTGAGTGAGTGAGTGAGTGAGTGAGTGAGTGAGTGAGAGCTAGAGAGAGAGAGAGCTAGAGGACAGTCTTGTTAATGTTAATTATTGGATCCATTTGCAAAGTAGGGGTGGTTCAAATTACTTGAATATCCTTCAATTTTCTAAGCTTTTTCTGGTAGTTTTATTTGTAAATGTGTCTGGAACAATCATTGTAATGTAATCATGGTAGTTTCATATGCATTTGTTGCAATGTATTGAAAATTGCATTTATAGCTTTTTGTGAAATTAAGGAGTTTACTTTAAGAATATTTCATGATACCTGTAATATTGATATCAGCTAGTATTATTTAGAGTGAAGATTAGCTTACACTTTTTTTCATATAGTTTGTTTATAAAGACAACACTTTGTTATTAAAGTGAAGGTAAATTTGTTTTTTGTTGATCTGAAATTTTTTGTTGCATTCTTTGCAGATAACAAGGATAGAATACATCCATAGCAAGAATTTCATCCACCGAGACATAAAGCCAGACAACTTTCTCATGGGCTTGGGCAAGAAGGGGAACCTTGTTTATATCATAGATTTTGGACTAGCAAAAAAGTACAGAGATTCACGCACACATCAACACATACCATATCGGGAAAACAAAAATTTAACTGGCACAGCTCGGTATGCCTCAGTCAACACTCACCTTGGAATTGGTAAGTAGATCAGTATTGCTTTGAAAAATATATAAATTATGTATTAGAAGACATATTTGGAAGTAGAATATCAATAATTCAAAATATAGCTGTATCAATCACAGGTAAATCTATTATTGTAACTGTGAAAAGCAAATTCCTTGTAATAGGTCAATGACTTTCTTTAAACACTTGTTTTAAGAATGCAGTTTTTATGCTTTAAGCTTATTCAGATATCTGTAAATTATATTTATCAGATTTTGTTTAGTGATTTTTCTAAATGTAGTATCTGGCCTTGTTTGGTAAATGCTGGGCATTGGTTGTATACATGATAACAATAACCTTAATTCATTTTACCCCCCAAAAAATGAACAAAAGGGAAAGTGATTGAGCAAAGAAACTTTTCTTTTCTTTGTTTTTTTTCTCCTGGGAAAAATTGAATGGGGATTTTACCATACATGTTAAGAATTTATGTCAAAAGCATTAAAATTGTGAATGACTTGTATGAATTTAGATTGAAAGGGTTAGTGGTTTCATATATACTTATATGTGATAATACACCAGAAAAGGAATGTTTTTTTCTTTTTTTGGCACAAAAATCAATGGGTAATAGTGTCCATTTAGATATTTTTAATGAATATTCTGCTAACTGTTAAAATGAGTATTTATGACATCACATAATCTGGTTTGCTCATCAGTTTTGATTTACTACTAGCTTTCTTTCCTTGACTTTTCTCTTCTCTGCTCCCCATAACCTACAAAGCTGTTGATGCAGTACATTGTTTTTTTTGAGATTCTTTCCTTCCTCCCCATAACCTCTAAAGCTGTTGATGGAGTACATTTTTTTCTGAGATTCTCTCCTTCCTCCATTGCCATTCTCCTGCCCCTTTTTTTCTTTTCATATTTACATCTCAAATCTCTTCTATTCTAATCTGATATGTATATAATGAATTTTTATTTCTCTCTATTCATTCAACAGAGCAGAGCAGAAGGGATGACTTGGAAAGTCTAGGTTATGTTTTGATGTACTTCAACAGAGGCTCTCTACCGTGGCAAGGCCTCAAAGCAGCAACAAAACGACAAAAATATGAAAGGATCAGTGAAAAAAAGATGCAGACGCCCATTGAGGAACTCTGCAAAGGATTTCCTAGTATGTACATTTCTTATTATTTTTATGAAATAAATGAATTATATATATATATATATATATATA